GAGGATAGTGTTGATGGTTATGGCGGGGCTGCCCCCCCAGGAGCACAACAACATACAAACAAGCAAAAGAACAAGTACCAGGGTAACCACCACCCCTATGTATACAAGCAATCATATTGATTTTGATTATGGGGATAGGCCATTTGCTGGGAGTGGGGAGGCCGAAGTGCTCTCTGCCGGAGTTTGCGTGATAAACCGAGGCAGTTCAATTTCCTGCTTGTGTGCCCCTCCCCCCTTCCCGTCTTCCTTGCTGACCTACTCCTCCTCAGAAGCCTCCTTACCAGGCTGCATGTGGTGGAGAACTTGACGCAGAAGCATTGAGGCACCATCGTGGTCCAGGAGATGATCCGTGTGGGCTGCAGAGGCCGGAGACGCTGTCCCCGGTGTGCCCGAGCCCAGGACTCACTCTTGCCCCTCCCGAGAGGCCCAGTGTAGGGCAGCCAGGCCCAGAGCACACCCTGTGCAAGCCCCGTGGTTGGGCAGTCATCGTCCTGAGCACCTCGGGGCACTTGTTTCCTTGCTAACATGCACGCTCTTCTAAAAAATGCATCTTTATTGTGGGAAGTATTGCAGATGTCACCCCCTTTCCCCCCATTGATCCCCTCCACCCGCTCCCGTCCCCTCCCAGGCCTTTCCCGCACTATTGTCTGTCCGTGGGTTTTGCATACATACCTATAAGTTCATTGGTTACTTCTTCCTGTCCCCCCTTCTCTCTGAAATACGTCAGCCTGTTGTAACATGCCCCAAGTCACTCCAAGGTCCACTTGGCCAAGTGTCTCATGTTGGTGGAAGTGGCTCTCCTCCAGCCTGCCGCTCAAAACAGGCAGACAGAAAAGCTTCATGACACTGGGGTTGGTGATGATTTCTTGGATATGACACCAAAAGCACAGGCAACAAAAGCGAAAATAGACGTCACACATCATCAAAATTAAAAACTTGTGTGTCCCCTGGCCGGTGTGGCTCAGTTGTGTCATCCCGTGCACCAAAAGGTCATCGATTTAATTCCCAGCCTGAGCACATACCCGGATTGCTTGGTCCCCAATAGGGGGCATGTAGGAGGTAGCCAATCGATTTTTCTCTCTCACATGGATGTTTCTCCTTTGCTCTCCCTTCCTCTCTCTCTAAAATCATTACAAACATGCTGGAAAACAAAAAAACTTTTGTGTCAAAGAACACTGTCAACAGAGGAAAAGGCAGCCCACGGGAATGAGAGAAAACATTTGCAAATCATGTGTCTGATAAGGGGTTAACATCCACAATTTAACAAGAACTCCTACAACTCAACAGCAACAAAACATTCCAACTGAAAAATGGGTCTAGGACTTGAATAGAAATTTCTCCAAAGCAGATATACCAAAAGCTCATAAGCACATTAAAAGATGCTCAACACCACTGGTCATTGGGGAAATACAATTCACATCTGTTACCAAACTCAAGGGGTTCACCACTTGGGGTACTTATTTAAAAGCAAGAGGTGAGTCCTGGCCAGTGTGACTCAGTCGGTTGGGCATCCTCCCATGCACCAAAGGGTTGACCAGGTTGTGGGCTCGATCCCCATGAGGGATGTGCAGGAGGCAGCTGATTGATGTTTTGCTCTTACATCAATGTTTCTCTCCCTCTCTCTTCTTTTCTCTCTAAAAATCAATTAAAAATCTTTAAAAAGTAAAATAAAAAGAGGCCCTGGCTGGTGTGGCTCAGTTGGTTGGGCATTGGCCTGGGCACCAAAGAGTTGCTGGTTTGATTCCTGGTCAAGGCATATGTCTGGGGTTGCGGGCTGATCCCTGGTAGAGGGCGTATAGGAGGCAGCTAATCAATGTTACGCTCTTACATTGATGGTTCTCTCCCCCCCCCCCCTCACTTCCTCTAAAAGTCAATAAAAATAAAAAGACAGAGGTGAGCCCTGGCAGGGTGGTTCAGTTGGTTGGAGTGTCATCTCATATACCAAAAGGTTGCGGGTTCAATCTCTGGTTGGGGCACGTATGAGAGGCAACAGATTGGTGCTTGTCATATCAATGTTTTTCTCTCTCTTTCCCCTTTTTCTCTAAAAACCAATATCCTCAGGAGAGAATTAAAAAACAAAAAACAAGAAGTGGTTGTCACGAGGTAGTTTTATTTACTTGCAGCAAGTAAAGGGGAGAGAGGATTCACATCCAAAGCTATGCCTCCTCGAAGGGAGGCTTGGCCATTGCTTACCTACATTATTTGGTCAATGACATGTTAATTGCTTCTTTGCAGTTGGCTACTGTCATGTCTTGAGTTCCCCCTTCAGCTTATCCTATTTACTGCTGCATCTGCAAAATACTGTGCTATATTTTAACATTTAGCAAGAAATAACATTTAGAACTGTCCATTGAGATCCTTGTCCTATCTAACACATTCACAATAAGATATGAATTCCACACTCATTAAG